CAATGATGTGTCCCCTAAACCATAATCACTGGCCATACCTCAACGTTACAAAAGCACAATCATTGTCCATACCCCAACCCCAACCACCCTCACCTCACTGTAAATAATCATTTCCATTTTCATCATTTCCAAATAATCATTTTCCATACTGCCAGTATATATACAGTATATATACACACAGTATACTGCCATCACTACAATATACATGTTTTGCATACTTCTTTATTTTGCTGACAGTTTTATTCACAGGCTTTCTGCAAAATGCCACACACTTCAAATTCATGCCAACTGATATTGTTGCATCCAGTAGATAAAAATGAAGCTTCAAGAAGCTTTGCGCTGGAGTGAACCAATTGGATGAAAAGCTTCATTGCTTCATGAAGCTGCATCTGCCCATCACTAGTAGCAAGTATAACTCGGTGCAGGCACAGCAAATGGAAAGTGAATACAATTACCCCAAGAACAGGAAACAGCCCTGACCTTCCTGTTATTTTGTACACCCCATTTATATAAGTGAGGCTAGGTTAAATAACAGAAAAACTTCTGTGCCTAATAAACTGCCAGCTGAGTCCACCCTATGATGACAGATGAGGTCAACATTTAAAAACAAAATACTGCTCATAAGACATTATTAACATATCTAGCCTATATGAAACATATCCAAAATATTCATGAAATGATAACCACCTTTATTGGCCAGGTATGTTACACACAAGGAACTTGTTTCTGGTACAGAACCGATGGCAGCCATCTGCGGCGCCACCTTAACGGATAGCTCTAACCATCAGGGGCAAAAGGGGCTTCAGTGTCTTGCCCAAGGACACTTTGACACATGGACTGCCGGCACTGAGATTCAAACCTTCAACATTCCGGTTGGGAGATGACTGCTCTACCCACTGCACCACTGTCACCTCCCCAGGAAACAGTAGAATATTGAAAATAAACATCTCAAAAATACTAATAATTTCCATGTATATCTAACAGTGTGTCACCTTGTTGGTTTTATCGGAAAATTTTATAGTGCTGTAAATCTCCATTTTCACAGCAGCCTTTGTGCCTGTGCAGAGTGAGTCAACCTGAGTGAGTGTGAGCTTGTGTGCTTTATTTCATTAAAAACAAGCTGGTCTGAATGATGCCAGCTGTAGCTGCAACAACAAGATTCTCATTTGATGTCATATTTGGGTGTGAAGTAGCACTCTGAGAAGAGTGTCAGCACAGGGCTAGATTACCTTCTCCCTCCCTTCAAACATTAGCTGGCTTATAAACAGTGCAAATCTCAGCAGCTTCTATATTCTCTAAAAGATATGATACATCTCCTTCAGTAAATCAAGCCTGATAGAGGTCATAAAGAAAGTGACATGTTCAGTAATATGAATACTTCTGTTCCTCCCTCCACACTGTGTCACATTAAGGACTAGGACAGTGTAGAACAGGCCGAAGTAGATCCTCACATCCTCAATACTTGTGTTTCTTCTTTGTACCTAATATTGGCAGTTGAACAGTTTCTTGCTTTGAAAAATGTATCAGCACTTGAAAACAGCTAGAAAATGTCTGCAATTTGGAAGAAACTGCAGCCTTGCACAGGAAAGCAGAGGACAATTGCAGCCAGGTCCGTATTTGATGCTTTGTGAGGGAAATATCAGCATCCTTAAAACTATATACCTTGGGTAAATCTTAATTCCATTACTTGAATCCATTTTTCCCACACATACATCTTTTGCTTGTTTTATCCCTGCCCACCTAAGATCTAAGCAAAAAAATTCAAGGAATTGAGGAAACACATTTTTTAGAGCCATGAGGTGGCCTTTCCTGTAATCCTTCATCTGAAGTGTCCAGTCATCAACCAATTTCTGATAAAAGGGACATGCTGTCCACAAAAATGCTCTGGTGTAGTCTCTCTCATGGCTCCTACAAGCAGCCACCTTGCTTCTCAACCCTGGGCCCCCATAGTAAGTATAAGTGCTTTGGGGTGTCCTTGATCCTCACTTGAACCACAAGTTGTTTCAGTTAAGTGAGAATTGAGGAGCAAGAAACAATCAAACAAGGGAACTGGGATTTACCTTTTGTCAAAAACACTGAAGAAATAGCTAAACATTTTGGAAGACATACTTGACCCTTTTCCAGCTAAATGCCCACATCATATCTGTTCATAGTAGGATAGGCTAGTGCACATCTCTGTGCTCAATATGAAGCTAGCGGCCCGGGTTTGAATCAAGGTTGCGTCAGGAAGGGCATCCGGCGTAAAACACGTGCCAAATGTCAACATGCGAGTTGTCAGTGTGACGATTCGCTGTGACGACCCCTAAACAGGAAAAGCCGAAAGTGACTTTCCTACCTTTATTTAGGAGGCAATTAGCTTAGCTTAGCTAGCATACAGATTGGAAACAGGGAAACAGCTATAGTTATCTCCCAAGAAAAACATGTTTGTTGTATGGATTTAACAAATGAGATATAAACTGTTAGTGAACTTTGATGCTGGTATGGGGGGGGGGATTTGTTTTTTATGTTTGGAAAGAGCCAGGCTATATGCTAAAATTAATTGACTGACTTTTGGCTGTACAGACATGAATTGGTATACAGTACTTCTTCTCATTTGTTTCTCAGCAAGAACAAATTAGCAGACTTTAAAAGACAAATCAAAGTGCTTCTTTACAAAAACCAAGATCAGCAGAAATGCAATGTATTCACATTTCTAATGGTAAAAATAACTTTAAAAATATTTTTTCTTCCTTACAATAAATTCTAACTGGACCTTGTATCCAAACCTGGAACTCCTGCATGTGGAAGGACTAGATCAATGATTGTTTTTTTGTTTTTTTGAGAAAACAGTAATGTTAAACTGTTGGAGTTCAGCAATCCTGCTGTTTGCCAACTGTCAAGTTTGAAAACTTAAAGAATATCCTCATTTAAACAGTTAGATTACTATTTGCGGGAATAAGCTGCATTAACAGCTTTGAAGAAAAGTAACATTATCCAACAAAAAAATGTTTGATAGGATTAATGATTTTTGAAGGTTGGCTGTAACACCATAGTGTGTTTCTATTTCAGGGTTTGCTTGTTCTGCAGAGCTGCTGCTTGCAGAAACACATTGTATTGCTAGCCTGCTCGCTCCGTGTGTTTCTCGATGGCCTCAACTGGATGTGTGGTACAGTGTGGTAGTTATCTCCCCTCAGAGACATGATCAGAGCGTTACTTCTCTCTAATAGTGCTCCTCTGGGCTGACTCACCTCCCAGCTGACGGACAGTGCTTTATTAGTTTTTTTCAGGATAAACGTCTGCCTTTCCACCCCTTACAAAGCCACATCTCAAAGGGTCACTGACGCCACCATCCTTTTTCTCGGTTATTTATAAACCCTGTCCCCGTGCCTCGTTGAGGTTCTCTACACACCTGACTGTGCATGGCTGATCACATTGATTGAGTCAAAATGCTATTAACAATGAGCACTCAGCAGCAGCAGGAGTGAACACCTCATCTCCAGTGTCTTATCTTCTTTTTTTAATGTCCTCACACTAAATGTCAATCATATCTCTGTTGCAAAACAAAAAGTAATATATGTAAGAATTATTCAAATAGGCGCTTTTTTGTGTAAGCTACGGATCCTTAAGCTGTTTGTGTCTGGTCATATGCAGAGAAGAGTAGTTGTTTCTCTATGACAGGGTTTTATTTTTCCCATCAAACTAAACTAGTAGTTTGTGGCAAGAATGTGTCAGTTTTGAGAAGCAAACTATAGCCTTACAGTTGTTAGTCACCGAATTTTGTCTCCAGAGAGCACATCATTTTTTCACAAGCCTTGAGAGACATAATGGCATTTTCACCATTTGTTATGTTTGCCATAAGGTCATCTCAAATTTAAATTACATGAAAAGAAAAAGTGATAAATATAAAACAACAGATGCTTCTCTCTAATTCTACTAAAAACAGAAAGTGTCAAGGGAAGAAAAAGCACTCTTCTGTATCTGCACATTCACCAGATGTGTTTGTGTTTTTTTCTGGTGGATGACCCTATTTAGTTTCTCTCCACAGTCCCTTGAGGATTGTGCTCTCTAGTCGACTGTCCTTGATTGGGAATCACATGAATCATCCCTAAAAATACACAAAAACACTATTTGTATTGGTGTTCCTGCTCCTGATAATATGAAAAGTTCATTGTTTGTTTTTGTGCTCAGCAAAAGTTGCATGGAACCAGGAGGTAATTGGTTCATTTTTTTTTTTTGACATCTTATGGGTCAGTGGACAAAAGCACAAATCATCTATTGATAATACTTTGGATTACATAAAACTCTTGAACATTTTCAGGAGAAAGACACTCAGTGTAAAGTGTATAACCAAGAAACAAGGTTTACATAATGACATGAATACACCCAATTGTGCTTTTTTCTTTTTTTCTTTTAAATAGGACCGAAAAATGGTTATCAGTGATGTAACTTGGGAAATATATTTGTTAGAATAGTGAACTTGAGTGCTGGTCTGCATCTTTCATCTCTACACCTTCAAATTCCACTCCACCTTTTCTTCTTTATCAATCATGAATTAAATGAATATTGCATTTACCATTTGCCTAGAGAGCAGTTGCACTTTGAGATTTTCTTTAAGTGCCAAGAAGGTCATTGTATGCATAAGAGTGAAGATGTGAATATGAACAGGATGATCACAGAGCGAACGGGTCACAGTCCGGAGTCTTGAAGCCTCTTTTGCTCATTATTTTACACTGGGAATGTTTCAGTTGAGGCATTTGGGCTTTAAAAGAGCAATTAGATCAATAGCATCAATGAGAGCAGCAGGAGGACCAGGAACTCAGCATGGCTACTTACATATTTATTTAGGGCACATCCCCTCCATCTGTGCCTGTATCAACAGTAACACTGACAAGCTCACAAACACTGTCACAGTGAAACTTGAGTGTCGGTTTTGTCAAAATTTTGTTGT